CAGGAGGACTTCCAACACTTGTTACCGGTATCTATGATTTCCAAGCTGGAAACAACTAATAGTCACTAGCATTGGTCATGGCACCAGCTGCACCAGACATTTGGCTTGGACATGTTGACACAAGCTAGCACCGTCCTTTTGCCTGTTGAAACTCCTGTCCTGGGTGAGATTTGGTCCCCAGGAGAGGTCCAGGAGTTCCTACTCATTTCTGCAACCCAGAGGAGGACGAAAGGAGCGTGTCAATGACAATGAAGCCCAGCGGATGAAGCCCACCAGGTGAAGCACATTCTGTTTGCCATTCCTGGATTGCATGGGAAATTAAGGGGGAGGGAAGAACTATGCATTCCCATAGCAGGACAAACACCCTGGAGACTCCAATCCATTTGCATCACAGGGGGAAAGCTGGGATTTCTCCTGCTTTGAGCACCACAGGCTCTGGGAGCAGGACATTTAGGATGTCTTTGGAGACACTTCTAGTTTCTGGATGGAAACTCTAGGCTGGTGTTTTCCTGCTTTTTCTGTGCCAGGGCCTGAGCTGCTACAGCTGTTTCCTTGCTCTTGGTGCCCTGCCCACTGCTCCACAGTCGGTGCTGGACTGAGATCTGCAAGTCCAGTGGTGGCCTCTGCTCCCCCAAGGCATCCCAGCTGGCTCAGTGCATCCTCAGGTGATCTGGTGCCATCTGCCGTCTGACCCAACGCCGTCGTAGCATGGCGGTGATGCCCCTGTCCACCTCCATCCTCAACCTGCAAAACGAGCTGGGAGGGGCGGCCTCCTGCCCGGTGCTTAGTAGGGAGCTGAACGTGTCATTGCTGTGTCACCACTTAAACTATGGTGTTTTCTTAGATTTTAGCTAAATGAGGAATCCTATAGGCTGTGGACTGGGAGAGGCACCCGCAAGAGGAGATCTCCAGCCCCAGGGATTTCCCAGGCTCAGATAACCAAGCCATGGTTGAGTGGCAGGTGATGGTCCCACCGCAGCCAGGTTGGGCTATAGGCAGCCTCCCCCGCAGCAAGCCCGCTGAGATTCAGTGTGGTTTTGGGTAACAAAGCAATAACTGAGCAAAAAAAGAAAGATTTTTTTAAAATTACTTCAATACTGAGAAGTATTTGTGTCAAGACCCGACCCTGTCCCCAGGCCTGGGGGAAGAGGATGGTACAAGACAAAATCTATGTATTTTTCTGTGCAAAAATCTGTTCTCTTCCCTGTCCCAAACTGGAGCCTGCTGTTAAGCTCCCACATGGGAGTGTCCTGCTTTCTTGTACTCAGGTCTCGGATGCCACCTCCTGGCTTTCCCGCTGTACTATGCATCTGATCGCCACGCTGACGCAGAGCGGGAGGACCTTTCCCATTGTACTGTCAGATACAACAAAGCCATGTCAAGCCTTAGTGGTTCAAAGCAGCTTTTATTCTTTGCAGCTTGACCCAGTCTCGCTTATTTTTGAATCATGATGGAGGTAAACCCCCTAACAACCCTCCTGCCACCCGCCCGTGGTTAGGAGAGTCCAGGCTTTTGTGCAGAATCCCATCATGGCAGCACCGTGACTCCCAAAGTTCCTCTGGGCTGTGACCCATCGCCTTGGCCCTGGCACATCTCACCTTTCACCAGATGTTATTGTGGAGGGTGTGTTTTGCTGCTAAAGCCAGATGCAGCCTGGGTCAGGGGCTGCTTGAGACATCTCCTCATGGCTGTGGCCACTGATGTCCGCCTGAACAGACAAACACTGGGAGGGCAACATTGATCATTGAAATGGTCTTTAACCATGAAAGGCTTCAGCCTGAGTGAGGAGGGATGCCTTTGAGAAAGACGTGACAGACTCTTCTCCTTGCACTGCTGGTACGGACCAGCAGATGGAAGTTGTTAGGGTTTACAGGAGCTATTTTGATCCTTTGCAGAAGCCGTTTAAGTTGCTGTTCAGTGCATTTGCTGTAGAAACGGGCTGAAGGCACCAGATCATGGAATCTGCACAACTGACCTGCATCTGGGTTCCCTTAATCATCAGCAGGACCATGAGGAGAGCATCCTGACCTCGAAGACTGCTGTGACCAGTAGGTCCCTGGACGAATGCAGGTGTTAAATGACCTGCCTCCTTTTCTGTATCTCTGGCTTCAGATAGAGACTGAGTTTTGCATGTGGCCTCTCTGAAGATACCCTGGCCTGTGACGTGTCTGATCAGCACAGCTGTGCCAAGAAGCCTTTTTGCATCAGAACAGCTGGATTTTCTATTTCCAAAGTGCTCCTGGGCCACAGGCCTTGCCAGAGCTTTTGGGAGAGAAAGGTTCAAATGCTCCCCCATTGATTTATCCTTTTGTCCCACCTTCAAAATGAGACAAAAAGAGAGTTTCCAGTAACATGTAAAATTAAAATGTGGCAAAACCAGACTTTTCCCTTATTTGTTCTTTTTCCAGCCCTGATGTGATGCTCAGAGCGCATCCCGTTGAGCAGGACAGAAGTGAAGGCAGATGGGAGGGGCGGGGGGGTGGGGGCAGGGGCATTGCACACGCACACGAGCAGGCATGGACACAGGCAGCAAGCGCACACACGTGTGCACACGCCTGCGCCAGGCGTGCACCGGCCAGGAGGGGGACGCTTGGGGACCCTCAGCACAGACGTGACCTACTTTAGCTCCGAGGCGAGCCACGTTGTGCGGGCCAGGGTAAGAGCTTAATAGAGCCAGGCATGAATTATTGACGGCCCGGGCATGTTAATGCACGGACTAACGGTGCTTTTCTGCAGCAAAAAACCTCTCCTCTATAATTTAAAGCCTCTCACACTCCCATCACCGGCCCCCTGCACTCTCTGGGGTGTTTCCGCTTAGGTGAGCAGAGCAGTGAGATGTGGATAGACCCAGCAGGAGAGAGCCGGCCCGGCAGGAGCTGGGATGAGGGCAGGAGCCGGGATGAGGGCAGGTGCGGGATGCAGGCAGGAGCCGGGATGCAGGCATGAGTCGGGATGAGGGCAGGAGCCGGGATGTGGGCAGGAGCCGGGATGCGGGCAGGAGTCGGGATGCGGGCAGGAGTCGGGATGCGGGCAGGAGCCGGGATGCGGGCAGGAGCCGGGATGCAGGCATGAGTCGGGATGAGGGCAGGAGCCGGGATGCGGGCAGGAGTCGGGATGCGGGCAGGAGCCGGGATGCGGGCAGGAGTCGGGATAAGGGCAGGAGTCGGGATGCGGGCAGGAGCCGGGATAAGGGCAGGAGCCGGGATGCGGGCAGGAGCCGGGATAAGGGCAGGAGTCGGGATAAGGGCAGGAGCAGGAGCCAGCTTTGCCTGAGCCACAGGCAGGGGGATCCCGTGGGAAGGGGCTGGCAGCACTGCTCTGGCTCGGGCAGCCTCGCAGCGAGCCACTTTCCGGAGCGGCAGCGCTCCGCGGAGCCCATTCCCAGGCGCGGGGGCCACTGGCGCTATTTTTAGAGCTGCCTTTTGCTGCTTCTGGTTGTTTTCTTTTCTCTCGCTGCTCCTCGCCTTCGAGCAGCGCTGCCCTCACAGCCCCGGGAGAAAGGGAAACACTGGTCCCTGGGGCGGGAGGGCTTTAGGAGCACCACAAGGCAGGGACAAGCTGAGCTACAGGAACCCCTTCAGCACAGCAGGGAGACCACCCCAGGATATCTCCCACCAGGACAACCACCCCCTGCCCAGGGGTGCCATTCCCACAGCCCTTTCAGCAGGTACAGACGAGAAGACATCGTCAGCCCCGGCCAGGGCGCCCTGCACCGGAGGAGGAGCCGGGCGATGCTGCAGCTCCAGAGGACGTTTGCCTTCTATGGACATCTCTCCTCGCTGCACCGCTGGCACAGAAGAGAGGCCTCAGCCTCCGCAGGCACTGGGGAGGGAAACAAACACACCCCCAAAAGGTTCACCGAGGGCTCCAGCAGCACTGAGCCTCAACAGCCCTTTTAACCCGTGGGAGCAGGCAAGGACTCACCCTGCACCTACGGGGACAAGATGCCCCAACCCCAGTCACAGCATGCAGCAGCGTCCCAGAGTAGCCTGGATCCTTGTGAGCAGGGCTGGGGCCGCAGGCACAGAGGGGAAGGGGTGTGGGTATGGGCAAGCCTGAAGCAGCCCCAAGAAAAAAAACACAGGAGACCACAGAAAGAGTCACAGCAGCCTCTGGGGATATATTTTTATCCTTTTTTTTTTTTGTTTAGGTTTTTTTTTTTTTTTTTTGCATTTCATATATTATCCAGTTTCACATTCTCATAGGATCAGCAATTATATAGCAACTTATTCTGAACTCTTTTAATACAAGCGAGACAGCCATGGTCATATAATACTGAAAGCACTTCAATACCAAGCAATAAGATGCTAGAACAAAAATTGCACAAGTTCTCATTTACTATGCCTGACTGAATCATTGGTACAGAAGACAACCCTTCTCTTTCAAGCTTTGAACTAAACATTAACTTATCTTACAGGATTACAATTTCTCTTTAATAATAATAATTAATTGCACACAAACACACAAAAACTTCTTTATGATGCATAAATATTTCCTTATTACACATGGTACAAAAATACTCGTACTTCTTTTTTTGTTCGGTATTCCCATAAGGATGGCTGATGTTTGACAGGACTGGATGCTCTCCAATCAGAAGGATGTGGAAAACAAAACAAAAAAAATCAAAAAAAAAAAGAGTTTAGATCTTTTACAGCTGTTCTATAGATAGAAGTTTGAGGAAGAAAAAAAGTTAATAGAATAACCCTGACTTTGAGAGCAGAGGAGAACGGCTGAGAACAGAAACCCAGTGCATTGTACTTGGAAAAAACCAAAACAAAACAAGGGAAAAAAAACAACGGAGCATTTCTCAAATTTTTCTGGGTGTACTGGGAAGGGGAGGGCAGAGGTGGGAGAAGGGGTGAGACAAGGACAGTTTAGTATTTCTCAAAGCCCAGTATTCACTGAAGCAAGATGAAAACGTTGATGGGTCAATCTGTTGGGCCAAGACCTGTTGCTAACGGTTACACAAACGCTAGAACAAACAAACTTACACTCACACATACACAAGTTAAGTGTTTTAATTCATGCCAGAAAACATGCAAAACCCATTGCCTTTCGTTCCCTTCAGCTGAGCCACTGGGACAGGGCGAGCCCGGGGAAGCCCAGGACAGAGACCCCCGGGCTGGGCTTCGGCACAGCCACACTGCGAAGCTCAGCCAGGGAGGATGTCCTGGGGAGGAAGGGAGGGAGGGATGGAGGCGGCGCATAGCCCATGGTGGCTTCACAGTCCAGGGATGGGGGATGCTGGCAGCCCCTGGGGAGCGCGCCGGGGCCGGGTGCCTTGTCACCAAACCAAACCAAGAGGAGTTTGAGTGATCATCCCTGGCACATTGCTCCGGAGAGGCAGGGAGGAGGAACACGAGCCGAGGAGAGACGCTGCAGGAAAGGAGCAGCAGTGAGCAGGGCTGGTTGGATCTGCTCCAAAAGCAGCACCCACAGCCCCTTCTCCATCCTCAGACTTGGGGCAGGGAGAGTTTCCCTGCTCCCACAAGGGTGGGTTTGGCTCCACCATCCATCACTGTTAACCCAACCACACTGGTTGATGTGGGGGGCTGAGCCCAAGCTCCCATCCCTCCTCCCCACAGGAGCCCAAGAATCCCAGGGATGAACAAGGCAAGCACCTGGCTCCAAGAGCCATCAACTACTTACTAACGAACTAACAAAACTGACGAGACTTCCATCCTTGCTGGGTAGCTTCAGAGGGAGGGTACCAGCGCATCTGGAAAAGAAAGCCATGCCAGAGGTCCATGATTCAGGATTATCTCAGCCAGAGCCCAAACCACCAGTTCCTTCAGGCCATGTACAAACTCCACTGATTTTCCATGCTGGAGACATCCTTAACTGAGGCTCCAGGGTGAGCCACAAATACTACCCGAGTAGCATCCCAGCCTGGGGCTGCACTGTGCCAGCACTACACTGGCCAGCTCTGGTGGCTCATGCAAGGACAGGCCCAGGCTCACCAGGCACTGGGACCTGGCCAGGTCCTCCCCCAAGGAGCGCAGCAGGGTCCCACACATCTCAACTACTGTCTGCCTACTGGCATAGCCAGAAGACAGCCACCAAGTACACACTCATGCCTGGCCCTGATCACTACAACACACAGAACATCACCCTCCAAGCTGGGAAAGCTCCTCACCACCAAGCTATATATGAAGTTTACCACTGCAGAAGTGTGCACAGGGAGGGGCTGTTCCCCTCCACCCAGCATGCTCCCGCTCCCCCCCACCCCCCATATTTCCATATTTACATCCTTCCCCTTGTTCAGGCTAAGGCAGGTGGAGGTGGCTCACGTTGGGCATTCAGCATCCCAAAGTGGTGGCCACTCTGCCCTCAGACAGTAGAAGGAAGCATCTCCTCACCACACACTTAAGCCAGACCACCTCTACACGACATGCATTAGGTAAGAACTGGCTCATCCACCACAGAGAAGACCCATGAAGTTTCTAAGACGCAACCCAGCCATCAGAAAAGGCTCCAGGCAAACCACATCATAGGAAGAACTTGGTAGAGCTGCAAACCAGCGAGACTTGGAGGTTTCCCTGGCAGGTCATTGCTGCCACATCTACTGCTGAGGCCTGCTCCTTGCCAAGGAAGGACTGCTAGATGGGGACCCAACAAGAGACACGGAAACAGGAACTGAACAGACACTTTCCAGCTTGTCAGTAGATGCAGCAACCTGGCAATGTCCAGTAGAACAGCATCAGACATCCAGATGCTCCCATTCGGTACATCAGGCTGAGCTGAGGTAGCAGCTTCATGCCCGAGAGCAGCAGGAAAAGTCTGTATCGCTTGAATGAGCATAATCAGAGCAGGAACAGCTCATGGTTCAGTCCTGCTGCTGCTGCTGCTGCAAATGGAGCTGAAACACAGTGGCCAGCCCCACTCTCCTTCCTCCCTAGCTGGTGCTGACAGGCATCAAAGAGCAGCAGCTACACAGAGGGCTGTGGGTACCAGCAGAATGATGGACTGTAAGAGGCAGAAAACCCTCTGGAGCCTGGTGTGAACCGCTCCCCCTGTTAAACCATCCTGGCAAGGCTGTCCCCTTCCCTGAACAAGCCCGGCTGGATGCTCTCCTCCCAAGCACATGCACTACGTGCCAGAGGAAAAACAACAGTATTCCCAGAGCAGCTCCAACCCCCACGCATGGCACTCTCCCACTAAGAGGGACCCTTGGTCAAGGGCATTCAGGCTTTCTTGAAGCAAGCACCCAGATCAGTTGGGCAAAGGAAGAGCTGCAGCCACAGCCAAAGCATCTAGCTTAGCAGAAGCTTTAGAGCTTCTCTAACCCATAGCTGCCTGCACCCAGCAAGGGAGAACCTGCCAGCCAGGGCTCTCTCCAGAGTCAGGTCTCCTCTGCAGGCTCTAAGCATGCAAGAGACCTCAAGAAAGCCACAGCAGGTTGAGATATAAGTGGCAATGAGGGGGAGATGGGGACTGGCTATGTTCTAACCAGGCACACTGTCCACCTGATGCACTACATGACTCTGCAATGCAAGTCTTGCTGCAAAGGTAACCAGGAGTGGAGATGCAGACCTATGTCCCCAGTCCCAGCTGTCCAGAAGCTGTACACAGGCCTCCAGAAGAGTCAGAACTGAAAACCAGGGCACCCAGAGCCTCAGTGACATCCCTTGGATTACTCTCCAAGCCAGGCACATTCAGTCAGTCCCTTCAAACCCTACTCCCTTTACCCTGTAAGAAACAGACGTCTGGCACCCAATGAGGATGCCAAGCCAGAGGCATTGTATTCACTCCTTCATGCAAAGACCTGCAGCATCCTTACTGGAGCTGGAGGGGACAAGAAGCACACACCTCCCAGAAAGCACAGCTGCCTGTGATGGCCAGGCCCTCCCTCCACACGCACAAGGGCTGTGATGCCAGTAACTGAACAGCTTCAAGCATGACTCAGTGACCTCAAGTCTGTCTTCTTGTGACAGCTCCCACAGGGAGGAGCACTGCACATCACATCCCACAGGGAGGAGTTCCTGCTGGATCCCAGCTCCCGTTCAGGCACCACCATCACAATTGAAGCTGTCTATAGCCTGGCACACTGGGCTGGTTGGACTCCTTGTCAGGCATCTTCACAAGGCAAGTGTCACCAAATCAGCTCCCACCTGGCCCCATAGCTCAGTCCATGACACAGCAGCCAGATGTGTCCCATTCAATCCAGTCTTGGGCGGAGGGAATCAAGGACATGGACTTGACCAAGACTCTCCTCCCCAGTCCCATCTAGTGCTATGAACAAAAAGCTATCTTGGTGCCATGCACACCATGCTCCATCAGCCTGTAAGAGGGACCCAGCTCAGCTGCACTCTTGGTGCCCAGCCTGAGGCCACCACACTGGTCTGGGGCACAGTTATCTCCTTCCACCAACACAGGCCACGAAGACAGCAGCTTGGTGCAGGCAGCAGCATCACTGGCAACTATGGGTCCACCACAGTGCAAGGACAGGGGCTCCTTCCTGCCCCCAGCCCTGCCATGGGGAGGCGCTTGCTCGGCAGAGCCCCATCTCCTCAGCAGCCGCAGTCCTTCAGGGCGGAGGTTTCACACTCCAGCACCCTCCCCTCCACAGCTGGAAGTCGTTTGTTCCCTCCTGCCCAGCAGCAACAGGAAACTCCCCCTGCATTCACAAGGCTGCGAGCGCTTAACCCTGGGAGCTGCCTCCATCCCACGCCAGGCTCTGGGTGAGCAGCACGGCTCTGGGTAAGCGGGCACAGCAGCCACACACATGCAGGATCGCTATCCCCCAACCCAGCTCCTCGTCCTCTCCTCAGGGGCCTAAGCCACCTCTGCCCCACACGCACCCCCCACCCCAGGCCTGGCCAAGCTTCCACAGAAATTCTGTGGGGTTTTTTTCTTAAAACACGCACTGTCAGTGGTTACAGCATTAATGAGCCTCCACTTCCGATGGAGCACCTCTCCTTGCCCTCCTCCCTAGGTCTTCAATGCTCATGCACCAAACACAACCACCCTGCCTCGTGGCGGCCCCACATGCCAGTAGCACAGAGGGGCTCAGCCCGGAGGCTGGCAGGAGCTTGTGCAGATGCAGTGATCCTGGGCACAAGCCAAGGCTCTAACACGCTGGCAGGGTGAGGAAATACCTGCCAGGTCCTTCAGCCCACAGAAAGAATAAGGACTTGATGGGATGAGGCAGGAACACCCCTCACTAGCAGGGATGTTTCTGAGACCAGAAGAAAGCACCAGAAGAACCAGACTGGAGGCAACAGCTGGGCAAGAGGACGGTTTTCACATCTAAAGTGTCTCGGCACCTTGCTGTTGCCACAGGAGCAGAGAGGCTCTGCAAACAGAGGGCTCCTGGAGCCATCTGAAAGAGACCACCAGCACCATAGTGGAACGTACAGGACTGTCCCAAGAGGATTGCACCCTGTCAGGCCAAGCCAGAGCACTTCCCATGGGGAGCAGGTTTCTCCAAGAGCTTTCAGAAGATCTGTTATCTCTCAAAATACTACATCTGTCAAGGAGGAAGATGAGAAAGGGTGATTGGAGGCATCTGGCACTGGGTGAAGAAAATAGAGCAAGGGAGGCTTTTACTGGAAGAGACACAGTGTTGTTTCTGTAGCTGCATTAGCTCACAGCTGGAAGGGGGTCTGGCCACATCTGCAACCATCACATCTGCCTGTGGTGATGAGACAGACACCACCAGCTCACTGCAGTCAGCCTGGAGCTGCAGTGTGCAACACCTGTCCCAGGAAACAGCTGGAGAAGATGAATTTGCGCCTTTGCCTGCCACCTTCCAGAGGCCAGATGAAACATCCAGAAGAGCTTCTCCCTTGCTGCAGCACAAGATCAGCACACCTAAATGGTAAATGGGATAAATACTCCATCAGTGCTTCACTTCCCTCGTCATGTCCTCCACTGCCTCTCCCAACTACCCTCAGAATTTCAATTTCCCATCTTGCCCACCATCCTTATGGAGAGCGATTCCTTCAGTAGGAAGGTTAAGATGAAGGATGGATGGCCTGAATACAGAGATCCATCCTCAAGCTGCATTTAGCTCAGGTGGCCTGCCTTTCCTCCTTAGTTACTTCTACATCTTTTTATCTTTGCTTTGCAGTCAGTTCCAGAATCTTGTGGTGCTCAGAGCTGTCCCTACCACTGGAATGGACCCAGCCACCTCCACAGGTACAAGAAAGGCTCCCTGTGCAGGCAGGGACAAAACAATGTTGTGCTCCTGGGAGCTGGTGAGATCCTAACCAACACATCCAAGAGCTGTATCTAGTCACCAGCTCCTGATGCTCAAAGTGATACCTTCAGCTACGCTGCTGCTGAGATAGCCTGACCCTGGCAAGCCACAGATACATCACAGTCACCACTTTCCCATGCTGATGGTCACTGCATGCAAGCCTTGGGCACACCACAGCGGTGGGCAGCAAGAGCTGCTCTGCTCCAGCTGGGAACACAGCTGACAGGGCACAGCCCAGGGCAGGCAAGGACAACCTGCAAAGGTGCACCCATGAGGCACTAATATCACCCATTAGCACTCTCTAGGCACACATTTCCGCGCTCAGCGGTAGGCATTTCACCCAAGCCACACGCTTGTAGGGTCCTTCAGGGGTCTGGGTTAAGCAGAGGAGCATCCAAACATTTGCTGGTTAAGACCAAGCAGCTCAATCCACCACCAAGAATACCTCACTTGCAATCAAATCAAGCACATACATCCCCAAGGCAGCCATGGTGAGGGAGGGCTAGAAGACGTCTCACACCATGTCGAAGAGCATGCAGAAGATGATTGGCACTGATCCATTCTGTTGTTTAGGAGGAGAGTTTTAACAGGCACCCATCCAATGCCTTGTACCCCTCTGGGCCTTGAGGCAGCTTATGCTGCAGCTCATGGAGACATTCCCATCTTAAAGTCCATAGCAAACAAGCGTTTCTCCTTTTCCCGGACTGGACACGAGTTGTGCTGCTTTCCTCTGGGTTGAGCTAGGGAGAACCCAGGCTGGCCACAGCTCAGGGAGTCACTTCAGATGGCATCTTGGTCCAGTTTGCTCATCACGTGTGATTTAGCAAGAATGGCTGCTCAGGTACCTGGAGGAGCCAAGAGCATGACCTGCTTGCTCCTCTCTGGCTAGAAGGAAAGGGCTGGCCTGGGGAGAGCTTACTCAGGGCTGCCTGGGCAGCTATGCCAGCACTAAGTCACTGGTTTAGAAAGACATGAAGGTCTTGAAGAGTGCTTCACACCTCTGGGAAGCATGAAGGTTGCCCAGAAAGAATAATCCTGCAAAGTCCTACGCAAGAGCTCCAACAAACATGCCACAAGTTATCAGGTGTAGAAAATCCATCACTGTCTGCAGTCTCCCATCCCAGGGAGGTTCTATCAGAGCTCAGCTGACACAACACGGAAGTTCAGGAGATTTTTGCAGATGGGACCATGAAATGAGTCCAGAGGTTAGTGGTGCGCAAAGGCAGATCCCCATTGTCCAGCAGATCCACCATGGCCATTGCTTGGTGCTCCAGGGCTCAGCCAGGCTGGTGGCACCAGGTGGTCACACACCCAGCAAGTAGCAGCCTCCCAACAGTACAGCACTGAAAGAGGAGGACCCGAGCCTGCCCCAGCACACCTTCACCATACTCACAGTTCTCACCAGATCACAGCCACCATGATCTGCCTCAGTCCATCCACAAGAGCAGCCACTGCTCAGGAAATCCAGCTTGCTCTAAGCCAGCTTCCACAGCAAACAAGAGGGAAAGGTTTCTTCTGAGCACTGACATCTTCTTTGATCACTGGGCTCTGCCTCAGCTCAGTGCTGGGAAGCCTTAGGGTCCTGCTGGGCTCTTGCACCACCACCATATAGCCATGGTCCAGGCCTGCTCCTTCCACCCACCACTTGCTTGGTCAGGTCCTAAGTTCAGGGACCCGCATCGACCATTTCCTTAAAGCCTCCAGACAAGGCTGCTGCCAGCAGCAGCAACAAGGATGCTCTGAGGGTACCTTGGGCAGCCCCCCCCCCAAAGGACTAGCATCTGCAACCTGCTTCCTGCCTTGAAAACATCTACCCTAGACAGTCTCCTGGGCTCTGGGTACCCCACGTGTCAGCCTAGTCTCCTACAAGCACCATGCTATAACCAACAGCATCAGTCACGTTCTTATGACGTTTCCTACTCCCCACTCAGAGCCTGGCTTTGCAGTACTCCAAAACAAGTGGTTGTCCATCAGAGATGCAATGCAGCCCAACTCCATCACACAGGCAATAGCTGTTCACCTGGTCTCAACAGAACATGACAAGCTGCATCATTATGTTTGCATCAAGCTCTCCCCACGAGACCAGCTCTGCACATCTTTGCACCTCGCAGTCTTGTAAGGGCAAAGGCAGACCTGGCCTCCCATCTTTGATAAATTCTTTCCCCAGTCTCACTACCACACAGAGGAAAAACCACTACCCAGAACCACTGCAACGAGAAGTGAGCCAAGACTCAGTTCCTTCAGTTAGAGCTGACCACAGCAACCATCCTCCCTGACAACCAGTCCCAAGCCAGGCCTTCTTCCCCCTTTGCCTGTGATGTCAGGTTGCAAGGGAGAAGCCAAGCTCCAGGTGGGAACTTGCTCCATTTCCAGTAACTGGAAAGGAAAGAGGTGAGATTAGACCCAGGATTAAGGGCAGGGTCTGTCCCGATATGCGATTCTGGAACAAAGTGACCGGCAAGTGCTGCTGTCTAAGGTGCCCACTAGAATTTAGTTGTGTGCTATCACTATCACGTCACTCACCTCCCCCACCGTGTGCCAGGAGTGAGATCAAGGTGTATATTTCTGGTTGCCCTCAAAGGGTCATGGTTGGGGAGAAACCGGGTTTCCTTCATGCCGAGCGGCAGGGTTGGCCCTGCCCTGGCTCAACCAGGCTGCTCCCCTCCCACCGGCGGGACCTGGCTGAGCCTGGCTCAGCTGGGAGGAGTTGATGTAAGATGGTGCCATGCTGTGTGCGCCATGTCATGTGCTGCCAAGTTGGAGATGTGGGTTAGAAAGAAGGCCTGGCATCTCATTCCCCAGGCTCTGGTGGGTGGGTAGCGTGAGGCCCATGCACTGGGTTGCCAAGGAGATACGGGCTACAGAGATGGGCAGAAGCTTGCAAATCCCATGGTGCACCTTGGAGGAGAGATGGTTACCTTACCAGTCTTTCCAGACGGGGCTGCCATCATGCTTAACACTCCTAGGAATGAAGCTGTAGTACAGCCACTCCACTAGCTGCAATAAGGCATCACTAGGATGTCCCATCTCCAGGGACAGCTCTGAGCTTCAGGGCTAGCCTGCGCTGGCATCATGGCTGGAGTTCACTAGGGACATCAAAGGAGGGATTTGAGAGAGGGTGGGAGGGAGGGAAGGCAAATGGGACAATCTTAAAGTCAGCAGAGTTCCCACAGGTAGAGGCCCTCGGTGGTGCAGGGTCAGGTCACAGTCACATCTGCAGCAGCCAGGTGCCTGCTGGGAACATCACCAACAGCTCCCATTGTGCCAGACCAGGCCCAGCCTGTGCCACCTCCTGCCCCTTGTCAGCCCTCTGGGCAGCTCTCAGGAGGCTGCATAGGTGCAGGGAGCAGCCACCTCCTCTCCTGCTCACTACCAGACTTGAACACAGCTGCAGGAGGACAAGCACTGCAGGTTTAAATCTTCTGTGCCAAGCTCTCACTTCAGCTACAGCCTCCAACTTCATGCCTGCCTCTGGACTGATTGTTATAGAGCTGCGATAGCTCTGGCCATCGCCATGAACATCCTCCACAGCCTCAGGAGGAAGAGCTGCAGCTGTTCTGGAGAACAACCCATGTGCCCACCACCCCACCAGCATGGAAAACCAAGCCCTAACCAGCACAAGCAGAGGGCTCAGCACACCGAGACTAAGGTTAGCCCAGTTTGTGAGCAAAAGTCACTTTACTGACTTGCTCCACCCTGCCCCAGCTCTGCAAAGGAGGGCTCCAGCCTAGAGACCAGGCAGCTCAGACCTGCCAGCCTGAGTAATGTTTAACCCCATAAAACTTTATTGGTAACATATACTGCGCCAGAAGGTCTCCCTGTGAGGCCACTGCCAGCTCCAGCACAAACCAGCAAGGAGCTCCTGTAACTACTCGGCCAGCCCAGGTACTCTTGGAAGAAAGCTGGGTCCAGCAATGTCCTGGAGGGGCTACAGTAGCTCCTCAAATGCTGACTTGCCCCCAGGTCGTATGGACCTCCTTGGGCAAGGACTCCTACCTATACAGGGAGCTCCTTTGCCTCAGGATGATTACTGTGACCAGAAGAGCTCCTTGAAAGCTAGTAGCTTGCCAACTGGAGGGCAGGAACTAAGACCCCAGAGGGAAAAGATGCAGCTGAAGGTGAAGGCCTCCTTGACACCCTCCACTTCAGGAGGGCAGAGTTTTTCTCCCCCATCATGCACCATAAAGCTTGGGGTCTAACCCCTATGCTCAGGGTCTCCATACAGTGACCAATTATCATCCCTGAAGGAACTGCAGTAATGGTTTCATCTTCCCTGTGAGGGTGCTGAGGCGCTGGCACAGGGTGCCCAGAGAAGCTGTGGCTGCCCCATCCCTGGCAGTGTTCAAGGCCAGGTTGGACACAGGGGCTTGGAGCAAGCTGCTCTAGTGGAAGGGGTCGCTGCCCATGGCAGGGGTTGGAACTGGATGAGCTTTAAGGTCCCTTCCAGCCCAACCTTTTCTATGACCTTATCATCCCCTCAACCACATCAGCCAGACCAGAAGGGTTTTTTATTGGTCCTCCTTGCCAGGGGCAATTCAACTGGCAACAGCCCTTAGCTCCATTAACCAACACCACAAGGAGCAGCAAAAAAGGGCTACCCAGGAGCAGAGCACACTCCTCTAGTTGTGGGCACCATCAGTAACTTTCAGATAACACCAACGAGCATCAGCCTCCCGGTGAAGGACCAGCCTGGCTCTGGAGGCTCTTGAAGAACAAGCCAGTGCCTGGTCCTGCCTTGGGCCCTGTACACATCTTGCCTAGCCTGCAGAAGCTTCAGCCCATAACCAGTAAAGGGGCAAAAGCAGCAGAGGCCTGCAGGGGTGCAAGGGGCAGGACAGACAAGTCTACACAAGCCACAAGCTTGCATTCCCTCCACTGCCTCTGTATTGCATTTGGGAGACAAGCTGGGCAGTTACAGTCAAGACACTTGCAAGAAACAAGAGGATGCCAAAGGGCCAACCGAGCATTGGCCAGGTGAACAAGGTGAGGGGACACAGATTTTCCTCTCAATTTGAGTAGGGAAGATAAGCACCCTGCAGAGAGCAGAGGTTAAGTCCCAATGCTCTGGGGTCTAAGCCAGAGTCCCACTGCCATAGTCCCCCATGGCACTACTAAAGGAGCAGAGACCAAAGCAGGCAGAGCACAGCTGGCTGGTAACACTAAGCAGGGCAGGGAGAGGGCCTCCAGTTTCTCCTACACAACTGCTCTAGACCAAGCACCTTAATCTGGAATTACGACACTACTATTTCAGCTTTCCCTTGCATTTCCATGGTTTCAGGGGCTTCATGCTCAGCAGGGGTGTTGGTCTCAATACATTAAAGCGTTCCAGTTTCAGATCAGTACAGGCATCCCTACATCTCCAGCTGTCAGCTACAGACCCTGGGGGACTAGGCAGTGGGTTGAACCACCACCAGCATTTCCAGGGGCTCATAGATGGAGTAACCCTCTCTAGCCTGCATCCAGGGTATATAAACACTGTCCCATCAGAGCTCCTCACTGTGACAAGGACTCGCTCGTCTCCTGCAGGACCTTCTCCTCCAGCTTCAAGAGTATTTGAACTGCTTGGCCCCAAGGGGTCCCAGCTGAGCCCCTCAGCTTCAACACCGAGCTAAGCCTGTTGCCTTTGCCATGACTTCAAGGAGGACATTTTACTTGCTGGCAGGTAGCTTTTCCTCCCAGCAGTTCCAGCCTCTGGCCACAGGGACCAAAGCAGCCAGCCAGAAACTGAGCCCCGACTCTCCCATCTGCCTGCCTCCTGCCGGGAAGCAGGCTGGACCTCCAGGTCAGAAGTCATCATCCAGCCCTGGCTGCTCTGGGCCACACAGACCCATCCCCTGCGGTTTGCTCCGAGCTGGGGGGGGCCCAACGCACTTGAGCCGGGAGGAGGCTCTGCCCGGGAGCCAAGGTGCGGAGCAGCCAAGCAGAACCCGCGGGAGCGAGCGCCAGGGCAGGGGAGAAGGGGGCCGGGTTCTGGCGCAGGGAGCAACTCACCTGAGCGTGAAGAGCAGCAGCTGCGGCGGCGGCCGCTGGGTACGTGAAGGCAGCATGGGGGATGGCGGGGGTCAGCTCCGTGGTGTACAGCGGGTACGGAGCCCACGCCTCTGGCGACGCTGGAATAAGAGCTGCTCCAGTCAGGTCATCTACACAGCAGGAGACAAGGTGGCAGCAGCTCAGTCGCTGGCCCCAGCAGCTTGGTTCAAGGGGTTTCCAACCCCAAGCTGGAGCTTCGCACTGAGACATAAAACCTTGCACCCCTCCAGCATTCCTGTGACAGCTGCTCCTCCAGCCTTGCCAAGAGAGGCCAGGAACAGGCTCTGTCACCGCTCAGCTACCCACCTGGGCTTTGGACACACACACAGGACAGGGATGGTGTCACAGGACGGCAAGACAGAGGACAGGGCTTTCAGCACTACATTACAGGCTGCCCAACAAGCCCCAGCAGGGCTGCTCGCCCCACCAAGCTACACTGAAGGCACGTAACACAGAACCCATCCTTTCTGCTTGGCACCTAGGGACGACTTAAAGGACTTATGGTATCACTTGAACTACCCAAACCAGTTCCGCTCTCCCAACAATCCTAGTGTCAGCCAGAAGCCTTACCAGATGCATGTTACTCTGTTGTAACCCTAATATTCTGGCCTTCTTGCACCAGGCATATTTCAGCCAGAGCATGCATATGTATTTTTCCACCCTGTCAACATTCCCAGGGTTGGGCATCTCCCAGGTTGCACCAGCCATGGCCTCAAAGCATACTCACAAGGGTCCCGTGCAATGAAGTGTGCACCCAAGGCAGGGTGGATGTTGGTAGGGTTTGGCGTGGCCATCAGCTTGCTCTTGGCCATCTTTGTGTTGGCTTTTGCAAACTCTAATCTCAAGGTCTGGGGGTTCTCTGGGTCAAAGCGGATGCCCTGTCACAGAAGAAAGCACAGGAATCTCTCAGAGGGGAGGTTTCCAGTCCAAGCAAGGGCTGTGCCTCTCCATGGAGCAAAGCCCAACTGGGAAACCAAGGCCACCATGATGCAGTCACATGCCCATGTCGCCTCACTGCAACACTCAAGCCCCCACGTGCTTGTATTTCTATGTTTGGCTGGCCTAGGACCACTGTTTCCAGCATGGTGGATATTTCTACCAACACTGACCAGGAAATATCCACCTGCTGGAGCTGGGATAACCCATCTGTACTGGAGCTCCTACCTGTAGTGCTGCTACAGGCAGAGACACTAGCACATGCCACAGTGCCCAAAGCAAGGTCTACAGCAGAGCAGAACCAGATCAGCATGTCTTGCTGCCTAGCTCCCACAGAGTATGCTGATAGTTTTGGGTATGCCACCCATGTTGACCATCTTCAGGTCTTTTTCTTGGGCTGCAGCAGTTTGGAAACACTGTGAATGTGCTAAAGAGCCCATACTAGACAGCTTAGGCCCTGCCATGCAAACAGCAGCATGGGAAGGCTGGTTTCCTTCCTTTCTGAAGGAAGTACCTTCTGGCTGCAGAGGTCTTGGCAGATCAGAGTCCAGGACAAGGACCTGCTCTGCTGACCTGCCACACACTTGACACCTGGGCATTAGGTAAGTGAGGCTTTAACACGGCCACTAGCACCAAGCAAGTCCTACAGCCACATGACAGACCAGCTTTGAACTGAGCCTGCTTCTCTACCCTCATACCCTGGTAAGCTTGACCCAGAGCTTCAGAAAACTCATGTTAAACAAAAGTTGAGCTCCACATGCCTACTTAAAACATTACAAGGTGTCAGCTGGGTATCACTCTGTGCCTGGGATCCACCTCTGTCCACAAGACCTCTCTTCTCATCAGTTTTCCAAGGGCTGGTTCCCCAGAGAAAACCTGGCTGCTCCGGGTACCCCAAGCAAAGCCCAAGTCAAGCAAGTCCCCACCTTGGTGCTCAGTGCTCCCTGAAGAGTAGCTCTGGCCACACATTGACACACGTAAGTAATCCATGCTCATTTGAACAAGGTGGCTCCCTTAGTTCACCAGTCTTCCCCATACAGGAGGGAGCACTTAATGGATGACAAGATCCAGGCTGTGAAGCCTATTTGTTATCAGAGGCCAATTATGGAGTTGCATGCAAACTCAAGGAAAAGAAGTAGCTGTTCTTTCCCCATACCCTCAGAGGCCCTGGAGCAGTCTTCCAGTGGTCAGAAACTACATCTACACCAAGTGTGGAATAGTCTGCATTCATTTGCTCACACTGATGTCAGCCTTAAACAGCTCTGCTGCTTCCCTGGCGAGATGCTGCAGGACCATTTGGCTTCTGTACTCAAGGGCACAGCTATGACACCCTAACACTTCCCATGCTATAGGCAAGCCAGATACAACTTTAGCCCACAGCTATGGGTCTAGCTACAGCATATGACCCCAGACCTCCAGGGTCATCAGGCACTCCCTGCACATTGGGTACTCACATTCAAGGCGTTCTTTGCTGCTTCAGCACCAGCCCGGCTGTCAAAGGTCACAAAACCAACTGGCTAAAAGAAATAATGCTGGTTTTAATTTGGAAGTCTCTTCCAGCTCCTCAAGCTACCTGCTACCCCCTCTGCCCCAGACAGCTTACAGCAAGCAGAAGAGACCCCCTAAAGCTGCAGAGGGCATTCAAGCATTGCTTGAAGTGCCTGAGGTCATCTGCACAAGAACCCTGCTCTGCGGCTGCTCCCACCACACCAAAATGTTTTGGCATTCATGTATGCAGGGGCACTGCTCATCCTGGTAGCCCCCAGCAAGGGTACCCCATGCTGGCATGGAGGACTTGTTAGGAAGGGGAATAGGGTGGGACTGGGGAAGGCTTCTGGCAGCACAGGGTTTGAGGCTGAAGCATCAAGTCTCATCCAGCCCATATGGCCCTGGGAAGCAATAGAAGATATGGAGCCATTCAGCACATACCAAGAACTTGGGGCCACCAGGATAGTGGCGGTGAGCAGAACCCTGCTGTAAACATGGTGCTAAACACAACAATGCTTTACATAGTGAAATAGTATCTGTCCCCCTCCCCTCCCACCATGCCTGGTTTTCTAGCAAAAACCAAGAAAGCTGGAAAAAGGAGATACCTGCTTTGAAGTTAGCTTGATCAGTGACCCTTCATAACCCTGCAGAAGGGAAGAAAGCAAGTCAGTGTCAGGCTCCTGAAAGAGCCAAGCTACAATCAAGACATGACACAACAGCTCCAGGAGGTCCTGTAGCACCAAATCCTTCATAAGGCAGGGTTTGCAGCAGCAGTAGGTACATTAACACTTCTTTGCCACCAAAAGAAGACACTTAAACTAGACTAAGGGCAGAGCACATATCTTAGCTAGTGTCTTCTGGCCCTTTGGGAAGAAATCCCATTTTCTAGCCCTTCATCAAGCTACTAAGACTAGCACCCTGCCAGGCTAGTGTCTACAGAGCACAGTTCACCCCCTGCTAGAAGAGGGCAAACAAGGAAACCCCACTTCCCTCAAGGCAGCCTACATGTTGACCTAGCAAAGGATGGAGAGTTAGGAGATCAGGACACATCCTCAAGGAAGTACTGACCCAGTTGGGCAGCAGAGCTGGTCAAGCAGCCTTCATCAAGCTTGGAGATGGCACGATTTCAACAACTGTCTCCAGGGGAGGGTCACCAGCTGACTACAAGCCATAGGTTACCATGCTGGTTTCATAGCAGGTTCCCCAAGCTTTCACAGAAGGCCAACCTTCCCACTTCATCCTTTCTGCCCCTCTGACAGAGATCCTGGCTGCAAGGTTGGCCATAAGACAGCATCTTTCTTACCAGAGACCAAATTTGAAAAACTTCTTACCTTGAATGGTCGGAAGAGTAGGTAGAGCTCTCTGGGCTTGATATCCACGGGAAGACCACTGACAAACAGTGTCCGTACCTAGGAGAGAGGTCAACGAGGTCTACTGAAAGGAGATGCTTAGCACCAAAGCAGGAGAACAGAGCACAGCTCCGAAGCTAGGTGCAACAGGCGTTAGACACCTTGCACCAAAGGTGGCCTTGCACACACCAACCTTTCCCTGCGGTAGAGGAGCCCTGGCCACTCTCTCCTCCATGACACAGAAGATTTGGTCCTTTATGAATAGTCGCCAGCAGAACAGTCAGGGTTGGTCAGGGCATGGACACCAGCCCCACAGTCTGACTGGACTCTGAGGACTAAAACTTGGAAAGGCCATAGACTGCCAAAAGCACCAACACAGAGTTTGACACATATCAATGGTCCAGAAGAGACTAGTACGTCTCTCTCCAGCTCTTTCTACAGATCATACACTAGATCTCCTTGCCTTAGCCCGTCATGGAACTTCTGCCACCGATTCAAAGAGAGCCCTCAAATTTGAACAAAACCTCACTCCTATACTCACATCTTTTGACTCCTGCAACAGCCTCAGAACATCACTGGGAGGATGGTTTTGGGGTCTGTTCTAGCTCCTCCACCAACATGCATCAGATCCTTCAGAAGCTGCTCCCAAAACAGCTCTGAAGGGTGTTTATTGTGCCCAACCAAAAACCAGCTGTGCTGCACAAAGTCCATGGAGGCTGCTGCTCTCTCCAAGCTGTAGAAGTCATTTCCTGAGACCAAACACACTCAGCGCATATAAGCTAAAATTGAGTACCAGAGGAAGATTCCAATCCAAAGTCTTGAAATTATCTATGACAGTTCACATGCATAGCCAGGAAGAACAGTGCTGAAGGCTCATGGCCTGGGAGAACTCGGACCATCATGGCCACCTTCTCCCTACACACTGGGAGACACTGGCCTGGGAGCCTGTTTCCATAGGAAGCACCATGATGAAGCCTCCAAGACTTCTCAGCACAGAGCTACAAAGGGAAGTTATGCGCAGAGGTCACAAAGACACTGGTGATCATTAACAAGGACCATGAGACCACAAGCACAGCTCAGGCAGCACTGACAGATGGGTGAGGGAAGATAAAAGACTACATGAATAAGATGGAGCTCTGTAGTCCTCACTTCTCACTGCACAGGGATGTCGCCCTCTGAGCCTGTCCCAACCAAACCATGAGAAGGTCATGGAGCGATGACCAAATGTTCAGAATGGCAGCAAATAGTCCCAGACACTTTTGAGCTGCAAAACACGTAGCCAGACCAGGAGCTTTCCAAGCCAGACCCCATCTCCTAGCCTGTTTCCAGGCTGGAGTAACCCCACTGCATTTGCAGGGCAGAAGAAATCTGCTCCCACATTTTAGCTTCCACTCCACCATTGTCCCTTCCCAGACATTCGACACATGGTTAAACTTCTTTTGCCACCCAAGTCAGCAGCACACACTTGCCCTGGGCTGGAGACAGCAAACACCTAAAAACACAGGAGCATGCAGCAGAGCCTCTGCACCCTCTCATTCTGGAGGCAGCCTCCTCCAAGCAGGGAAGTTTCTCCTTTTTACAAAGGGGACACAGGGCTCCCTGAGCTCCTGTGCCCAAGATAGTCCTGGCAGGGCAGAGAGACACCCTTCACATCAACTCAGGGCAGCTTAAGCCCGCCAGGACAGAAAGTAATCACGTAAGCCTTGGGACCTCTGCCCCTCTTGCTCTCTGTGCACACTGAGACCAGCTGCCACCACCCAGTGAACACCCCAGTGTGCCGCTACCACCCCCATCGGTATGCAGAGCCCTTCTCCAGCCTGGTGTGCCTCAAGACTGCTGCAGAATGCAGCCACTGAGCACCCTTCCCTCCAAGAGCAGCTTTCTTCCCATCCCCTCCCTGGTTCTTCGGTATGAATGGCCCTACCACACACCCCAGCTTTTGCTGTGCCCTGTCTAGGGAAGCAGGATGCTATCTGCAGCACTCCAGAAACACTTTCCAAGCCCAGGCTCAGGCTGACAGTACTCCCACCCTGCCCAGCCCCTCATTTGATGCTTTGATGGATCACTCCAGGGCCACCTCATGCCCAGACAGAGCTGGCAATGGCACGGCACTGTCTCTCATTGTGCTGGCTGCCTCTAAGACTTTGGCGCCTGTGCTTCAGCACCAGCTACATGGAGCACTCGCAGTGCATTCCCAGAAGACACACAGCCATCTCTTGCAGGGGAGGTCTGTGCAGTGTGGTGGCACACATGTGCCTCAGCCATGTGAAAGCACCATCCCTTTTCAATATTTCAGGATCTCAGGACCCCAGAATGGATGTTTCTTCCAAGCAGATAGAAAACTGCATCCCTGTTGGGTCTCTAAATGGTCCCGTGATGTGTCATTTGGTAAGTCCTTGCGACAGGCACGACAGAATGAAAGATGCATGGCTGCTCAGGGAAGGGGAACTCAGCTACTCAGACCCCTTACAAAAGCCTGAACAGAGCAATGCAGGCTCTTTGTGAGAGTAACAAGCTCCTAATGCCAGTCCCATAAGTTGCTGCTGAAGACAGCAAGAAGAGACCTTTTCTTGAAGGCCAAAAGCTTCCCTTGGCCTCCACCAGTCTGTCACCATACACTGCATTGGGAAGGGTATCTCAGCCAAACCACAGCACCCACCAAGGGCTGTCATCACCCCAAAGAGAGCCTGGAAACAACCAAATGTCACCAGCTGCAAATCTATGAACAAGGTTTCCCCAGAGGATCTCAGCACAGACTAAGGAAGGTCCCTGCTCAGAAGAGCTTGCTAAAGGTGAAGAGATGAAGTGATTTGTTTTCCAAGATCTCTGCAATTCTGCACATTCATTAAGTGGTCTAGAAAAGGGTAAGGGGAAAGTGAAACCAAGGTACCCAGGGAAGGGAGAGTGAGGCTGGTGAGACCTGAGGACAGAGTGAGGTGAACCAGAGGGAGATCGCTTCCAAGACAAGTTGTAAACATGGGATCGGCAGCAATCAGAAAGCAAGGAGATCTGGGTTATCCCACAGGAGAAAAGCAGGAGGCAACTTGCCAGTCTGAGCATCCTGTGCACTGTGCCCAAGCCTGCTCCAACCTCCTCGCCCTGCTCCGGAAAGAGGAAACTAGATGAGGCCAACAGGGTCTGAACAAGCATCTCCCAATGGATTAGCTGAACTGGGACTCTCCAGTCACTCCTCTGCAGACCTGCAGGCTTTGGGAGGCCACCAGGACCAACCAGGGCCAATGGAATCCCACCTTGCACTCAACATGCAAAGACAGGGTAGGTTCTGCTTAAATAAATTTCCCTGCTTCGACACCCTGCCACCAACCAGCAGGTTCAGCCTCCCCAGAGCAGCTGGAAAAGCCACAGGAGAATAAGGAAATCTCTTCTGAGCAAGCTGTGGAGCTGCCTGGGCCAACTGTATGTTCAGCAAGAACTCTGAGAAGATACAGCAGAAGCACATCTCCAGGAGTACCTTGTTCTTAGACTCCAGTGGTAGCAGCCACTCAAGACACCAGGCAGGAGCAACCCCATCTTGCCCAGGATGGCTGATCCAAACAGGACACACAGACAGGAGGGAAGTGGGGCAGGGAGCAGCTCACGTACCAGACAGCCCTGCCGCTGCTCCGGGCCCTGCACAGAACACTTCCCTTTCCCCATCCTGCCCCCCCAGGGATCTCCCCAGCCCAAGCACCTGGCAGGGATGGGGGAGAGCCATGGAAAACAGGACTTGTGCCAGGAGGAACAAGACCATCTAGGCCATCTCTTTGAGAGGGGGGATCCCAGCATAGCTTCCCCCGCAGGATGGAGGGAGGGACAAGGACAAACCCAGCTAGGGCTCAAGTGGCTCTGAAGCACTCACACAGCTGTGTCTCACAGAAGAGACACATCTATTGCAAGCACAGCCAAGTACTTAGCACCAAAGCTTTTAAGAACCCAGGCAGAAACACCTGCCTCTTCCTACCGGAGCTCCAGCAATGCCAGGACATCAGCATGGGTCTTACAACATCCACATCTCCCAGCCATGTCTGCTGTTAAAGAAGAGCTCTTGAAAGGGTCCCAAGAGGAGCCAGGCACTGCCCTGGGGCCCAGCAAGGGTCAGGTTATGTGAGAAACATTACAGGTGAAGGCATGAGTACCTACCTCCAGCGAGGTGGCTCTGCTGGGTCTCCAGTGCCGGGCTTCTGCTGAGAGACTGCTCTAAATCATCCCAGAAGGAACAAAGCTGACCCTCCCCTCCTGCAGGATCAGCCCTGGTTTTGCATAGCTGTAGCCTCTCCAGTGCCACAAAACCAGCCTGGTCCTAGGGCCAGGCTCCCACCACCTGGAGCACACAAGCCTTTATCACCAGCAGTTAGGAGACATCCAAGAACAGCTACAGCAGGAACATGCTCTAGTGCCTCATCTGCACTATACCACTAGGCACCCCCTGCTCCAGGAAGCCACCCACAGCTACATGCCATTTTTCCTGGACACAAGCCATCTCCCTCTCGTTCACACCAATACATCCACTGAGACTTCACCCTGTGCCAGCAGCCAAGGCAAACCTTCGCGCCATCCAGGGCCAAGCTCAGCCACAGCATCCCCAAGGCAGTCCTCGGGGTGCCGGCAGCTCAGACACATGGGCTGCAGCTCTTCCCCTGGGAGAGCATCACAGCGGTGTGCCCAGTGGCACCCGGGGCCACCAGCAGAGCTGCAGGGGGAAACGCAGCCCAGGCCACTTGACGCAAGGCCGCTGGAATGCGGCGAGGCTGCCCCAGGAGCCAGGACTTATAAGGCACAGAGGCAAAAGGCAGGGAGGCGAGCTGGCAGGCCAGGGCTGCAGGGAGGGAAGCGCTCAGGAGCTGGCCACAGGGCTTAGAAACAGGACAGCTCCCTCCTCTCACTGCCCATACGGACATGGGGCTGCAGGGTTCCCGTCCTGGGCAGGTTTGCACATCAGCACATCAAACTGCCCAGCATGCTTCCTGAGGGGAAGAGGCTTGCTAACAGGCTCCATCACTGCTCCATGCCTCAGTTTCCCCCTCACCAGCAGTACTCGATAGCAGAGAGGCTGCAGGAGC